AAAGTTCTATCTTTTCCTTAATTCGTACTTAAATTACTACATCAATGAGTCCTACTCATTTGTGTATGAAGCGAAAAGATATGTTGGTTGTCCACTATTGACAATTTGAGTTTTCAACTCAATAAATAATGTTTATCAAAACTACCTAGTATTTTGAATACATGATATCCAACCGTCCTTTCGGACTTTAGTCATAAAAGTCAATTATAAGAAGCTGTATTTTAGAAATGCCTTTTCTTTCCTTGAGAACCATTCTCAAAAGATTTCCTTTTACCAATCCTTTGAAACATTATAATTTGATCTAGAATTCTATAAATATAAGTGCAAAGTATTACCATTCATCAAGATAACATAATAAGCATTGAAATGCATCCAAACAAGCAATTTCAATCTTATTAAGCATTTTATCCACACATTTAAATTTTGTCCCAATTAGGCGAGGATAAAACGATTCCAAGATCCCAAAAATCAAAAAGTGATTAAGCATGGTTTGGCTTGTCTTAACACTTAATATTTTAAGGTAAGCAATCCAATTGCTAATAGCTCTAAGCTACTCTTGGTTCGATAAAATGTCGCATCTAATGCTTTCTTGACGTTTTATCTCCATTACCACGACATCTAAGGACTCCTTACTAATATCGTTGAGTCTAACAAAAACTAACGTGTCTGCGATGCCTTACTTTGGCAAGCGCACTAACATACCTTACTTCCCTAGGAAAGTAGTAATGATGTCCTTTGGCACAGCCCATTACTATTCTCATTAGTTCCGTAAGTGTCATTTTGGAATGGCAAATTTAACTCAATATTCATTAGGACTTAGGGTTTCTATGTTGGTTGATTTAAGTGAACTCACTTAATCATCACAACATTCGAAATCCTAAACATGCATCTAACATCGCAATTATATAAGCAAAATATATAAAGCATAATTAAAGATGCATTTGGCAACTAGCATAACCCCTTGAACTTGAGTCTTCAAATCTTCAAGGGCCTTCGTTGCATCCTCTTGGCTCGTCTTCCTAGAAACGCCGTCTTCGAGACATCACCACCAATTATGCAACTGCTAATAAGACTAGGACTAATCTAAATATTAAGGTACAAAAATATGCAACGACACGCAGTCCGTATTTAGATTTACAAAAATACAAAACGGATCGCAGTCCTTATTTACTATCCTAGTCGAGCCTCACTAGTTGCCATTTTGTAAAGCCTGCATTAGAATATCTATTCCATTCATCCATTCACTAATGTGAATGGCCCATGCATTTTACAAAGTAAAACAAGCAATAAAGCAAAACACGCGCAAACTAGTAACTAACTTAGGTGGTTAATCCAATTAACACGCCTAATTAAAACTAGTCAAAGTTGTTAATCGATTATGTGATTAAATGCAATAAAATTAGCTCAAATAATTAAGGAAGCTCCCACTAAATTTCGCATGAAACTTAATTAAAATTAATCCAATTAATTTAATTAAGCCGGTTTACCCAAATTTTGCCAAATTATTTTGCAAGTGCCAGAAACTCGAGGCCTAGCCTCGTTAAAATAATTAAATAAATAATTAAAACGGCAAAAATCGCAAAATCGCATAGCCCTTCGATGCCCGAGTGCCTAGCACCAAGCCACGAGGCTCGGTTTGCTAGGCCCGAGGCTCGGCTGCCTTGCATGGCTGTTGCCCCTTGCACATCCACTTGTTGTGCCAAGCATGTGCATGCGGCTGATAGCATTGCACTAAGTGCATTATGCTGGCCACATCAGCACGCTTGCGCACACACAAGTGAGGGCCTCAAAGGCCTGCTCTTGAGTGAGGTGCATGCTGCCTGGCAGCCGCAAGCCGCAGCCCACGCAACAACACTACACTTACGCACCAAGGCTGCTCGCACACACGCACTAGCAGTGCACCAACGATGCACCACCCCGCATCCTCGGCAGCCACATGCGGGATACACAAGCAGCCCGACTGACCGAGAGAGATGCTTGGGGTTTCATGCCTCGTTTTGCGCGCTTATGCCTCGTGATTTTATCCCAATTTTTGTGTGATATAAATAATTAATTCTAAATTAATTTTAGAACCAATATTGAGCAAAAATGAAAATAAAATAAGTCCAACTTGAATAAATTCAATTTTATTGCACATACCAAAATTAATTCAAGAACCATTCTTTAATAATGAGATTTGACAAAATAAAAGGAGTTGGAAAAATAAACACAATCATCCAATGAAAAATTTCCAACACTAACTTGTGTAAACTTGAAAAATTACATCTTCCAATATGAAGATTAATTAGATTTCAATCACAAGTTTTGAACCTTTAAGACTTTAATCAACTCAAAATGATTAAATCAAAATTAGTTCAGCATGGAATCTAGAAAGTTAAGTTCCAACCAAATAAACAATTAAAGATTGGATTTTTAACATTTTTAGGGACTTGAAAATTACAAATTCACCCTAAACATTGACATTTGAAGCAATTAATTTGCAAAAATGTGAAATTGCAAGTTTATGTGAAAAATGAACTCACCAAATATGACTTCATAAACATGCTTAATAAGGGTTATAATTGCAGTAGATTAATGATGTAACCAGACACATAATCTAACATTAACATGCCATAATTAATCAAGGTTTAAAGATTTAAAATTTTTCGTCAAAAACAAAAACCCCTACAAAAAACATGTTTCTGGGTAGAATTTGGCTTCTAGACATTCGTCAAAGAGATTCAAAACTGATTTAGAACATCGATTCCACCCAAAATTCACTACATTTCGGTCAAAATCTAGATTCTTTAGCCAAAATTAGTCTAGATATGAGATTAAACTAATTAAATAAAACGAGCTTCTAATCCAATTAGAAAGCAAAACTAGAAATTTAAATCCATTTAAATCACCTTAATTAATTATTAGTTATAATAATTAAATTCACGCGGCTCCAATACTGCTGTTGGGTTTCGTGATGTCCAAACCCTCCCAAAATCTGCACACAACTTAAAGTAACAAAACATGCATATTAATTAACAATCACATAATTAATTAACAAAGAGAGAAAGAAAAGACGATCATACCCTTGATGCGTGCTTCACTCTTTGTTAGAGCTCGTACTTGAAAGCGTAGAGCTTCGCAAATGCGCAAGCCTCCAATGGCTCTCACCCTCGAGACCCGACCCGAACGACTCCTACCCCGAAGCTTAGTCGGGGCTAGACCAAAATAATACTAGAGTATTACGAACGTAAAGGTTTTCTCACCTATTGGGAGATGCCTTATTGAGTTCAACTCAAGTGAATAATCCAAACTCCTAAAGTTGGTATTTATAGGCAAAGGTTCCCAAAAACTTCAATCATCTTTCCATGTAGGAGAAATGATAGAGTGAGAAAAGTAAGCAATTAATTTAATTCCAAATTTAATTAAATTAGCTATGCAATAGTCAAATGACAAATGTCAACATGAGGGAGGGAGTAGGTAAGGACCACAAACCTATCCTTGGAGAGCAAGCATACACCCACCAACCCCATGTGCATGGCACACCCCAAGCTTTGGTCCTCAAGGCATGCCATGTGGCATCCTTGGCCCTTCGGCTGGGCTATTTGCCTTGAGCACCAAGGCCCGACCTTCGCTGGCTGCCTTGTGCTCTCGGTTGGGCTAGCCAGCGCGCCCCATCGCAGCATAGCAGACCTCGCACGCTTGCGGGCCGCTATTGCTGCTGGGTTGTGCTGCTGCCATCGCAAGCCCAAGCGCAAGTCGGGCTGCTGGTGTTGCTTGCTAGCTGCGCTAGCTGCTGTGTCCTTGCTTGCGCACCATGCACTCGGCCAGCAGCCCAAACCAGCCCACGCACGTGGCTTGATAGGCTTGTGACCAGTGCATGGCTTGCGGCAGCATCAAGCTGGCCCTAGCCCTCACTCGGCTAGGTCGATGCGAGGCTAGGACCGTATGCCTTGACTTGTTGTTTGACTTATTTTCTTGTCTTCTCAATTCGTTGAATCGACTCGATGCATGGCGCTCGGTTCGACGCTCTAAGCTCGGAATTCGACGTCTTTGTCCATAAAACTCTATTGTCTCAATTAATCCTTCGGATTAATTCGTCGTTCGGTTCGGTTACTCGATTAAGTGTGACCCGAAGGGTTCAGTCAAGATTAAGCTGTAATATTAGTTATGCATTAATATTACTGATCGGAAGCGGCCTCCAGTTAGGCATTCCGATCACTTGACCTCACTGAAATAATTAGCTTTCTAATAATTCCGAACCTTATATCGAAATAATACACTTGTTCGAAGGACACTATTCCTTTCACAAACGATCCATCTAAACTTTGATACCAATTTTGTTTGTGAAACTTCATTTACAAATCCATTTTTGACACTAAAATAATACAAATGATGAATTACAAACATTTCCAATTCCATTTTTAATAAAAATATGCGTTGTCTCTTCTGCTCACCCTGCCATAGTATCCTTCTTTGAACCACCTCACTATTTGATTCCACCCACCATCGTCACTTACCCTTCTCTAAACCACCGCACTCTCCTTAAAAGAAACCGTCTTCGCCCCACCATGATGCGTTCTCGCTAATCCTTTAAACTCTCATTCAGCGCGACATATAGACTGTAATTCAAATTTGAAGTTGAAATTTAAAAATTTATTTGCAAAATATTTCAAAGTGAAATTTCTAAAAAAAAAAAAAAAGTGGAGCAAATAATAAAATACGGAGGGAGTATTTTTTAGACTCGGAGTACACAAATAACATGGTGCTCCGGTGTATAATACTCCCTTCGTTTTTAAATACTTGATACACTTTCCATTTCCTTATTTGAAAAACTTTTACAATATTTAATTAATTTTTCTTACCTAGTGGATCTAACATAAATCATATTTTATTAATTAAATATTCTCTCTCCTCCAATTCTTTCCACTACTTTTGCTTTATACAATTTTTATTCTTTCAACCCACCCCACTACTTCCATATTTTATTATTTTCTCCAATTTCCCCTAAAACTCCGCGCATGGAGTAATGAAACTAGTATTTAAAAACGAAGGGAGTATAAATTACGGTAAATCGGTCAATCGGACCTTCAGACTTTCAGATCACCCATGGCCAAAAAAAAAAAAATTAATAAAAAAGAATATTCCTCAACCCCAAGTACATGCATCCCAAAACTTCCTCAACAATTCCACAAAAAAGCAGGCAAACATTAACCTGCAAAATCCAGGACTAGGAGAAAAGGAGGCGCCATTACCCTTTTCTCTTCCGACCATTCTCACCTTCATTCTCTCTCACTCACCTCAACAATGGCCGCCATTACTCGCCTTGTCAACCATTCAAGGTCATCCACCTTCCCCTCTATTTGGAAGGCCATGATTACGACCTCCGCTTCCGCCTCCGCCTCAGCCTCTCCGTCATCTGGGTCAGATCTGAGCTCCAGAAACGTGCAGTGGGTGTTCTTGGGTTTTCCTGGCGTCGGAAAAGGCACCTATGCTAGTCGCCTTTCTAGTCTCCTCGGCGTCCCTCATATCGCCACCGGTGACCTCGTCCGCCATGAGCTTTCTTCCAATGGCCCTCTTTCTCATCAGGTCCACTTTTTCTCCCTTAATTTATCTTTCATTCTAAGTGATTTGATATTCAATCTCGAAATCAATGTGATATTGAAACAATTTTTATTTTTTGGGTTGTAAATTTGTGTTTTTGGTGCATTGTCGGATGGAATTGATGCTATGCCGTGCTAACTGAATCGATTTAATGATGTAGGATTAGGGTTCATGTTACTAATAATTAAGTAAATTCATAGGTAGTTTTCATGGGTTTTCGGAGTTAGTGTGAAATTTTAACTATACCTTTGTACAGAAATAGAATTTTGGCTCTTAGTCTGTAATTTTTGTACAATTTAAAGTCGTTTAATCAGTTTAATTGTTTTCATTAGCAAAAGAATCATTCGCAAATGATTGTGAAAATACAGAAATTGCATTTTATTTTTTGAGTGATTATTAACAATCTATCTATTTGGAATATACGAAAAGGGTAATGTGGCTGATTTGCTTGGAGCAAAGGGAGTTACTTGATTGCACAAGCTTTGCGTTATTGTTTGGGTCATTTTTTTCTCACAAGATTTGGCAGTTTTTGGATCATTTTAATTTTCCCATTTCCTTTGCCTTATTGTTTCCTCCACTCCTTTCTACAATAATCCCGCAAGGGTTTCATCATAATACAATGGCTCATTCGACATTGACCACTGCCAAGACCAACAATACCACCCGACTGCCCACTGGCCAACCCAACCCTAGCCTCCCCACCTCTAACTCAAACCAGACTGCCAACCACCCTGCTGTCACCCCATCATTGACCCCACCCTTCTACCCCGCAGGTTTGCACAACTCTAGACACCTTGCAGCCAAACCACATTGCTGCCCAACTAGTCACCCCATCCCCGACTTCACCTACCCGTTAAACCACCTCAACCAACCCAAAACCCACCCTATCACTCCACCATCAACACAACGCTACCACCAACGGGAACCCATCCATCTTCCCTAATAATTCACAACCCACCACCTTACAAATACCTCCCAATTTATAACAATTGCACCCCACCAAAATTCAACCACATACACCGAGAAAGAGGAAGAGGAAGATTAAATGAGGGGAAAAGAGAGATCTACAAATGTAAACAATTAAAGGACTTTTAATTGTGTAAAACTCAAATTTTGTAGTTTAAGGTCAAATATCAAAGTTTCAATTGTGCAAGGTGTTAATGGTGGTGGCGGCGGCAGCGTAATGGTGGTGGTAAATATTTGGGGGTTTTCCATACCTTGTCTCTCTCTCTCTCTCTATATATATATATATATATTCATTCCTTCCCATTTGCCCTCTCTAACCATATGATCATTTTATATTTAATTTATATGTGATGGGTTTGCCTACATAATTCATAGGGGAAAGATGATTTCAAATGTCAAATTTTGGGGTTAATAGCTGAAAACAATGAAATCTGACTTTATGGAAATTCAAAAAATTATTTATGTGAAACAAGAGGTGATATCTCCTCTAATTTAAGGCTTAAGATAAAAAGAGATTTTCTCTATATTTAATAATCCATTTTTATATTTGTCGAGTAAAATAATTTGGTACCCTCTACTTTTTCAAAGTTCAACATATAAGTTTTTCACAAATGCTTCAGGATACCTTTATTGACTATATGAGCGTCACTCCGTCGGTCATATTAAGGCCCCGTTCACTTTACCTTATATTTGTTAAATTGAAATTATTTTTACTAAATTGAAATTATTTTTGCTGAATTTAAATTATTTTCACTAAACTGAAATTATTTTTACTGATTTTCTATTATATTTCTTCTTTAAAGTTACTGAATTTTCTGAACTTATTTTAACTAAACTGAAATTATTTTTATTGAATTAAATTTATTTTTAATGAAGTGAAATTATTTTTACTTAATACTTCCTCCGTTTGTTTTTAGTTGACACCATTTGATTTTTACACTATTCACAAAATACACTTTGACTAGATTTTGTGATTTATAACTACGATAAAATATAGTCAAATGAGATCTTGTTGAATCGTCTCAATGTATATTTTATTATCATCCACTTTTTATAATTTTACAATGTCGAGAATTAGAGATATTAATCGTTAAAATAGTGCGTTGACAAGCGTGAAAAGAGAATGGTGTTAACTTAATAAAAACGGTGGTAGTATTATTCTTTAAAGGTGAAGTGAACAGGGCCTAACACTTAATGACGTTACTACATCTCTTATCCCTTTAACACTCTTTTCTTTCTCTAAATATTCCCCCATCAATCACATCCACTTTTGCATAATGCCATAACTCCAATTTCCCCTCTCCTTTTACATCCAAACTCTGTCAATTAGAAATAAAAAAATAATTTAACAAAACCTTTAAATGAATTCAAAGTTTCAAACATAAATCTTGAAATGTTCAATCAAAATTCATTTTATATCTTACCCACAAAAACCCTACAATAGAGTTTATCAATCAAGGATGCCACCATTTCAAAAATTCTAACAGTTTCCATGGCTTCTTTCGTCTTTCCCTCTTTACTCCTTACCCTATATTCCATTTCCCTCTCTCTCTCTCTCTCCATTCAACCCCACTTTATCTTTCCTCTTGCTAAAAACGACCAGGGTAGGAACATCTTATCAACTAATCCCCAAATCTACATAACCAAAGCCTTAATTTCTCAAATTTCCCTTCAAAGTCTCTATCTATTCATCAATGACAACACCTATAACAATCGCACAATGCATTGGGGAAGGATAACAATTGCACAATGGATTGGGGAGGGATAAGGTTGGTGGTGGCGCCATTGAGAGGTATACAACAGGGAGGATGAACAGGCAATGCATAGAGAAATTTTCGGGAGAAGAGATATGATTTTTTTGTTTTTATTTATGAAATCGACATCGTGTTTGGTTGGTTGTTACTTGACAGATTGTAGCCAATTGACAGCGAGAAGTGGCGGCATCATGGTGGCAGTCATGGTGATCCAGAAGCATAGAAGATAATCGGAGAAATTGCAATTGAGCGGGAGAGAAGTAACATTTGAAGTGGTGAAATTGAAGAGAATTCGAGAATTGTAAGCTTGTTTTTGTCGTGGTTCTCTTTCGACAGCAGAGGGAGATGGTGATTGATAACAGTAGTGGCGATTCTGGGCGTATGTGATTGGTATGGTGGTGATGGTCATGTGGAGAGTGATGGGAGCAAAGGGAAGGAGAAAGATTAGGGGAGGGATTAGTGGTTTATGCTAGGACTCAGGTCACCTGGAAGCAGATTTAGGCTACAATACAGCAAATAGAGAAAAGAGGGGGGAATAGTTTGTATTGATTGATGAGTGTAATCTTCTCAATACACCCTTTCATTCGAGTGGAAAGGAGCTCTCCAACTAAGCAAAAGCTTAACAATATTTTAGCATGATTATTAGAATAGAATACCCTCCCTTAAATACACTTAACCTGCTAACAACTTGCTAACAGATTCTTCTCTCTCTATAACAAACTCCTCTTAACAGAATTATTAATATTAATGACTCCCTTGCCCTTGCATCATTAGTTGATTTTACTGCCCTTGCCATGCTTCTTACATGCATAAGTAATCACCATTGGAGGTCTAGGAACATCTCTAGCAGTTTAATTAGGGGTTTGTGGGGATAGTTAGAGATTTATGGATTGATTAAGGGCTATAGCTAACAAAGTTAATGTCCATTGTCCATTAAGGGTATGTGATGTGTTTTTGTAAAATTGAGGGGCATATGGTAAATTTGAAAAAGTTGCGTATATTGTGAATAAATCAAAAAAATTAGGGGTATATACTGAAAACATTGAAAAATTTAGAATTGCATGTTGTAAACCAAAAGTTTAGTAACCATGCCCATTTTCTCCACAATTGAGGGGAGACCATGGACAAAGGGATTAAGGGGGAGGGAGAGGAGGAGGAGGAGAATATATGCCACTAAATCCAACAACTTCTTCAGGTGTTGTAAGCAGAGGGAAATTGAGAGGAGATGGAATATAAAAAGGGTAAAAAGGGTGGTGGTGGGGGTTTGAAGAATTCACTTTCTCAACCTAACACTATATATCAGGTTTGACTTTTTACGTATCTGCCATCATAGGCCTATAAGTCTGAAACCAAAAACCATATGATTTGTTTTAAAGGAATAGTTAGATGCTTTATTTCAGATCAAGGGTGTACTACTCTCTGCTATGAAGAGTTAGCATCACTTAGCTACATCTCCCATCCCCCATCAAATATTTATTTAAACCTTATTCTATTAAAGACAAACAACAATTGACTATTAATGACTACGTATTAACCACCTCCCCCCCCCCACCCCCCAAAAGGGCCAGGCTTTTCGTCTTCCTGACAGTTATCTTTTGTTCATTCTGATGTCCAGCTTGCTGAAATTGTCAACCAAGGTAAACTAGTATCCGATGAAATAATAATTTCTCTGTTATCAAAGAGGCTTGAGACTGGAGAAGCAAGAGGTGAATCAGGTTTCATTCTTGACGGATTTCCACGTACTATAAGACAAGCAGTAAGTTTTTTTTTATTGTTGGAGCGAACCTTTTTATACAATATTGTATCAAATAATAAACATGTGGGTTAATTTGTTTCCTATTTGAGTTAACATGTCAGGCTTTATTTCTTCCTATTGCTATATTTATTTATTTATTTATTTCTATTCCTCACATGTTATCAGATTTTTGTTGCTCTCTTGAGTTTAAACAAAACATCCTACTTCATTGTGTAGATTTTTAAATTTCGTTATATTGTTAAATTCTATGATGTTTTTCTTGAGATGTAAACCACTCTAAAAGTTAGATTTTTTTTTGGGTTGCAATACCTTCATTGGTTCTTGTATTATAGAATAGCTGCGTAGTTGTATCTGTATCTCCTTGTAGCATATTGTACTAACTTTATTCACGATCTACTTCTTGAGAGGTAAAGATTGTAAACCACTATAAAAGTTTAATTTTTTTTGGGTATGCAATACCGTAAATGGTTCTAGTATTATAGAGTGGCTGTATAATTGTATCTGTATCTCTTTGTAGCATATTGTATTAGCTTTGTACGTGATCTACTTTTCTTAAATTTTTATTCTCAAGTGACCTTATTCTACTTTTGTAGTGACAATTTGTTTGATGCCTCTTTGTTTTGCATATTAGAATGAGTATCATGTATTATTATTTTTGTTTTTTCCCTTGGGATCTGCTCACACCTTGGTTCTGATTTCAGGAAATATTGGAAGGAGTAACTGATATAGATTTGGTGGTTAATTTGAGATTACCTGAGCTAGCTTTAATTGAGAAATGCCTTGGTAGAAGGATTTGTGGCCAGTGTGGTAAAAACTTTAACGTCGCCTCTATTAATATCAAGGGTGAGAATGGAATGCCTGACATAAGTATGGCTCCACTGATGCCCCCTTCGCAGTGTGCTTCCAAACTGATCACCCGAGCTGATGATACTGAAGCTGTTGTGAAAGAACGGCTTCTTGTATACAGTGAAAAGGTAATTACTACAATCATAGTTTGTTGAATTTCTTAAGGTTTCTATTGATAGTTTCATCATATATGAAGTGTTATCTAGCAAAAACTGAGGGAGTAATAGTCAATTTTTTTTCCCTTCTTTCTGATTAGCATGCTTTTGTTATTTACTTTTTCTTTGTTTTCTCTTTTGTGAACGGAATTGTTAAAGAATAGTTAAAGAGTGCTTCTTATACTTTCAAATTATTTAAATTGTTGAAAATCTGGCCGTGGCTATAATTTACTGCCAAGAGCATAACTTTCTTTTTTCCCATGTAAAGATCCTTGTCTAATACTTCATCTTCCAATAGGGAGTTGGTCCAGTAGTTTCCTAAATGAACTGAAGTCTGGGATGATCAAGCTGGTTGATCATAGCAGAAAGGATTTCAGGCTTGTTACTCAAACTTGTTTTATAGAAAGAGGAATGAATGGGGGATTAGGGAATTAGAAAATATGAAACTAGGGATTAATTATAACCGCCTTGGCCTCAAATAGGATTTCTCAATAGGACATGATATTTTATAGCATTTGCCTTCCTTTTCTCCCGAGGACATCTTTTTCTCTCTTATGTACCTTTTTTTGCCATCCTCTTTGAATAAGATAAATTTTACCTCTGACATAATAGCATTTGAAATATAATTGCAGAGCCAGCCACTAGAAGAGTTTTATCGCAATCGTGGCAAATTAATGGAATTTGACCTCCCAGGGGGCATCCCAGAATCCTGGCCTAAGTTGCTGGAAGCTCTTAATCTTGATGAGCATGAAGAAAAGCTCTCTGCCGCAGCATGATTTTTTCCCTACCCCAAAAGTCAGTTTGTTATTTTTTGCATGTTCTTGAAGCATGCCAAACAATTTTGTTAGTGGTAACAGGAATTTATTAGTTGCAATAAGTAACTCATACGTGCAATGTGATCACGGCGGATGCCTGGCAAGTTCTTGTACCTTAAAGGTGAAAGAGTTAGACAAGCATTGTTACATAGCCAATCATTTTTTCTTCAGGTCCGTTGTTGCAGGACTGGGTATGTAATTGTTATGATTGTTGAGTGTTGCGTTAAATAAAGATACTTAGTTTTGATTAATTATAATTGTCATTGTCGATTACTGTTTTGTAATGCTTACGTTCTTATTTGGTCTTGATGTGCACTATTTTTATGGGAATTGGCAATTTGGAGTGTTGAACTGTTGACGTGGTGAGTGGGCACCCAAAAAAAAGGGACAAAATTTGCCTCAACAACATAAATTTTTTACAAGGTCCATATAGCAGCATGAATTTTGACTAGTAGCCGTAATAGGATCCAACTTCATTATCGGGTGCCCAAAATATCAATGAAGCCTAGTGTTTCGGGGTTTTCTGATGTCCTGTGGGAGAGTTACAATTCCGAGACTGGAACCGGACACCTGTACCTGCAAAACAAACGGATGCTCTGGATGATTGGAGATCCGCCTTCGACGGTCAAGTTAGTACTTGATTAAGGAGTAATTAATGCGGAAATAAAGGTGATTGGGTCTCTCTAGGTGAGAGTGTTAAATGTGCGTAATCCCCCTTAATGAGGATTAAGGGAGGTATTTATAACCTTGGGAAACGTGCCAATCCTAGGTTTAGGTTAAGCTTGGGCTGATTGGGCTTCCCTTGGAAGTTGGGCCTACGTGGCCGGTTTCTCCATTAGGCATGGAGGATGCCACGTGTCATGACATATAGGTCCAGGGTGGACGAATAGGCGTGTGCCACATGGCAAAACCTGACGGTTCCAACTGGGGGACACTTGGCAGGACCTAATTGGCCCACGTGGCGCATTCCGATTGGTGGGAGCAAAATCCCCTAATCATTTGCCCCTCACAGGTGGCACGCGACTGGTCACGTGTTACCTGTGACAGGTGTCGCACTGTGACAGGCGACGGCCTGCTACAGGTGTCACTCGGCGAAAGGCCGAGAGATTCTCCCGCCCAAATTTTGAATTTTGGAAGTGACCCTTCGCCTTCTCACTTCGCCTATATAAGGGAGTGTTGACTTCAGTCATTTTCACACTTGAGAACTTTTTGAGAGAACATTCGGACCCCTGAACTTGCTCTGACATTTTAGACCCTTTCTGCCTACCGCCTGCTCTGACAAGCCGACTGCACAGGATTTTCAGAACTCCATCAATCATCACTCGTTCAGGTAACCGTCGGTTCTCTTACTCTTAATTTTCTCTTTATTTTATTCTTTTTTGAAATGGCACCACGGAAGCACACGACACGACCTAGGTTAGTGATCAGCCGGTCACCGGGGACGGCTGAATCTAGGACTAGGAGTGCCGCCTGCCCTTTTCCGGACCCATCTTTGCCCTTTATACAAAGTCCGACTGTCTCTGTGTCTATGCAGAACATGATGGCCAGAACAAAAAGAACTGCTAGGATTTCGAACTCAGACGGCTCCTCCCACAGGGTGCCGATTAGTGAAACATCTGACCAGGCGCCAAATGTGGAAGTGAACCAAAGCGGCTTGAAAGCCGACAGTTCTGAGGGAGGAGTCAAAGTGACCCCTTCCAATTTTACAGTTGACAAGTCTACATTCTCTCCTGCTCCTTTTAAAGGAGAGGAGGCGGGCCCCTCTGGGAGAGGGGAGGAGTCGTCCTCTTCGGACTCGTCAGAGGACGAATCCGAGTGTAGCTCTTCTGGTCATGCTTCTCTGGACACAGAAGAGAAAAAGAGTCGCCTACAAGAGGCGAGGCTTTCTCACGCAGTTGAGAAGGGGGACAATTGGGCGGAGCCATCCGCCTCTTACCGAGAGCAAAATACCCCCTACTACTGCACTGTCCCACGGGGCCGGATCACGGCCATGCAAGAGAAAGTGGGGAGCTTTATTCCGAACCACACAATGGGCCCCGACTTTTTAGTGTTCGTGCCGGATCCAGAAGACACAGTCGTCTGGCCGGCTGGTACTAGTTATGATGGCGCCTGCTTTGGCTGCTACGAGGCGGCCATCAAGGCTGGGCTGCGCTCCCACTACATCCGGCTGTTCAGCGGATCTTGGATGGGTATGAGTTGGGGTTATGGCAGTTAGCCCCGAACTCCTGGGTCAACGTACTCGGCTATGTGGCCGGGTGCGAACTGCACGGGGTGGAGCCAAACTTCGAGGCTTTCGCCCACATGAACTACCTCAGCCGGACCCCTAAGGTAGGCGGTACCGGCTGGCATCAATTGACAAGCCCCAGAGGCTACCTCATGACAAGAGGTAAAGCAAACAAGTGGAAGGACTGGCGAAGCACCTTCCTTATCATTGAGAGTTCAGACACAGAGCTGAACAAGCGCTTCAACAGGTGGAACAGGAATCCGCCTCTTCTTGCAGGCGGCCGCAGCATGCCGCCTGTTTCCCCCAAAGCTAAGAAAGAGATCCTGGACAAAGGACTCTTTAAAGTAGAGTCGAGGGTCGACTCTACTTCAGGGGTACGAGAGCAAGTACCCCTGCACTGCGTCCCGAGCTTCAAATGGCTCTACGACGAGTACTTTTTGGCCGCCTGTGGCCTCAGCAGTCGGTGCTCAAGAGGTAGCCGGCCTGTCGAATACTCTGTTTTTCCATGCATTACTGTTATGACTTTTTATTAACTTTGCTATTTGTTTTTGCAGCGGACGCCATGAGCAAAATTACCGCCTCCAAAACTGCGGCGGCCATGTTGCGGGCCTCCATCATGCAACAGTCATCAACCGACTCCCCCAACAAGGGGGCGCCCTTGGTGAGCTTCGAACCTTTCACTCTCTTTTGGAGTTGGGTTTATGCATATACTGACCGAGTGTTGTTTTTTTTTTTTAGACGGGCGCTCCAAGAGCTTCTTCTTCCCAACAACCGGACTCCAAGACCCGGAGGACGGCTGTTGCGAGCTTTCCTGGTTCTGCCAGGAAACATGCGGCGGCTGAGAAACAGCCGGCCACTCCTTCTAAAACTCCAATTGGGCCGCCTAGAAGTATGAAGCTGTCTTTGTGAATTTAGACTTGCTCCCTTCTTTCGGTATGACGGGTGCGTCGGGCCCTTAGGGTCCTGTCGGAAGCTGTGTGAGCTTCAACTTCAAATTCATTCTCAGTATCATGGTCCGACTGAACTTGAGGGTCGTCTAGGGGACGCCTCTCTTCAGGAGTCGGTACAGACGTGGATGCCATCTCAGAAGTACTCTCCCCACAGACGGCGCCAAAATGTTTCGGGGTTTTCTGATGTCCTGCGGGAGAGTTACAATTCCGAGACTGGAACCGGACGCCTGTACCTGCAAAACAAACGGATGCTCCGGATGATTGGAGATCCGCCTCCGACGGTCAAGTTAGTACTTGATTAAGGAGTAATTAATGCGGAAATAAAGGTGATTGGGTCTCTCTAGGTGAGAATGTTAAATGTGCGTAATCCCCCTTAATGAGGATTAAGGGAGGTATTTATAACCTTGGGAAACGTGCCAATCCTAGGTTTAGGTTAACCTTGGGCTGATTGGGCTTCCCTTGGAAGTTGGGCCTAGGTGGCCGGTTTCTCCATTAGGCATGGAGGATGCCACGTGTCATGACATAATAGGTCCAGGGTGGACGAATAGGCGTGTGCCACGTGGCAAAACCTAACGGTTCCAACTGGGGGACACTTGGCAGGACCTGATTGGCCCACGTGGCGCATTCCGATTGGTGGGAGCAAAATCCCCTAATCACCTAGCACCGGAGATTTTGTTGAAGACGTTGAATCTTTAATATTTTATTAACTTTTGCAAATTTTGACATCACATATAGTCTTTAAGGTCCAAATTGACCCATGGCCTTAATTAAGATATTTTATAGAACACAAATTGGTGCGTTTTTGGTAAATTTTTGTTAGATTTGATCTCAAAATTAACCCCTGCGGTCTAAAATGATCCTTGAAACTTTGTCTGATCATTTTTCTTGTATGAATATAAAGGCACAAAATCCAAGACATTTTTTTATTAATATTAAAGATACCTTGTCTTCAATTCGAAGAAACCTCTGGTGCTACATTTATGATATTTGGTGACTGGTCTAGGCTAGTGGTTATGGTGAAGATGTTGACAACGAGGGTGACTGGTGTTTCGAGCCGGCGCGATAAGTACGAAATTTGGGTAATTCAATTAATTTACATGCTAACATTGTAGGGAAAAAAAAGGGAAATTTTGATTCTTACCACCAAAAAAAAAATCCGGTATTGGCTTTTACGACCTTTTTTTTGTTTTATTTTACCACCACAAAAAATCGAAAAATTGGATTTCACCACCACTTGATGGATTCCATCCAAGATTCATTAGTGGGGCCATCATGTAAACGTGTCACTTATCTATTGGATAAAAAAAAAGAACAATTAAAAAAAGAAAAAATCCTAAACCCTAACCTTTACATTAGTCAAGTTACAGCCTTGCTAGTTCATCATAGTCAACACTTAGCGGGCAGCGGGGGTGGGATAGGTTGTCAAGTTGCAGCCTTGCTAGTTCATCATAGTTAACACTTAGCGGGCAGCGGGGGTGGGATAGGGAGGGGGCCTGACGGCAGTGGGGGGTTAGGGTTGCCAGTTTGTGGGGGTGGTGCCTAGGTTAGGGTTTAGGGGTTTTTTTTATCCAATAGATAAGTGACACGTGTACGTGTATTTAATAATATACTTAAGGTCAAACTAATACTTTGACATGTTTCCTAAGTTGGACTGTGTCAATTATTCAAGAAAACGGAGGGAGTTACATGTGATGAATGTTTGACAAGCATAATTTATTTATTAATATTGTTTGGACAAGCATGTTAGTGTGCACATTAAAAAGCATTGGAGCATGTTGCGATTAAGTGGTGAGAGCCTGAGAGCTATACGTACATTGTTTTACTTCTTATGTCATATCACAGTATTATAGATTTTGGTTATGGGCCGTTGATGGTTTCAAGTTGTAGTAGATAATTTTAATATGATATTTAGTTTAAAGTTATTTATTTTGATGTTTAATATAAAGTACATTTTAAAAGTAAAGTCTTCTGTGTCTTTGATAAAAAAATTAGCCGTGATCATGATGGTGGTAATATTTGTCATCTTAATATTTTAGTTGGAAAAAAGGATTTATAAAATAGGGCAATTCCTTGGGTGTTAAAAATTAAAAGGTCAAAGCGAAAAAAC